CTCCCCCACAAAATTTTTCTCCCCCTTTTTTTTTTCTGAGGCAGAGTACCATTATGTCGCCCTCGTTAGAGTGCTGTGGCATACAGTTCTCAGCAACCTCAAACTCTTGGGCTTAAGTGAATCTCTTGCCTCAGCCTCCCACTACAGGCGTCCACCATAACTCCCAGCTATTTTTTTTGTTGTTGCAGTTGTCATTGTTGTTTTAACTGGCCTGGGCCAGGTTTAAACCCCCCCAGCCTTGGTGTATGTGGCCAGCGCCCTACCCACTGAGCTGCAGGCTCCGCCAAAGGGAGGAATTATAAAAGTATAAGGATCCCTTGAGTGAAAACATCAACTGCAAGATATAAGAGGAAATGTAGGAGACCCCAGTTGCCTCTATAAAAGTCTTTACTATAAACAAATATGGAAAGAAATACCTTAGCTGTCAGTAGTTGGTCTGAATCAGGTATGTTTGTGATGAAAGGGTAGGGAACATTGTTTATGTTTCTATTTGATGATTCATTTCTTATAAGATTTGTGGGGTTAAGAGGTTTTTGGGGTTTTACCTTTTTATGCTTTAGTACCATAGGGATTCATTTTATGATCTGTATTATGTTCATTGGTGCTGGTTTCCTTTTTTTTAGGAAATTGTAAATATTTATCCATCCATCAACCCACCCACCTTGACAGCACACCAATCTAACAGAGTTTGCAATGCTCTGGCATTATTGCAATGTGTGGCATCACATCCAGAAACCAGGTAAATTCTTTGGGTGAGTCAGTGAGGGAGATTTTTATTGAATATGGGACTAAGCTTTTGCCAAACAATGAGAGGAAGGGCATGCAGTAGGGCATTCCTGCATATGTGTAGTGTGTGTATGTGTATCTTCAGTACTCTTATTTACTTTTTATTTAATAAACTTTAAAGAAGCAGTGTGCACATCAACATCACAGGAAAGTGTCAGGCATACAGGCACTTTTTCCCCTGCATCTGTCGTAGTAGCCACTATGTCATGTGTGAGGCATAGTACATGGTATATAATAAGAATTCAGTAAATATTTCTCCAGCATTTTTCCCCACTGAACCCAGATTAGACTTCAGAATACTTAACACAGCATCCCCAACAGCCTCTGTAATAGATGGAAATTGGCATGTAAGTTAAAACATTTTTGCCATCCTGCCGAATCTGAAAAATTAAAGAAGGGGAAATCTTATTCAGGAATTTTGCTTTGTGACTCTTACAGCCCCAAAAACATTCAGTAGTCATTTTATTAAAGCCTTTCCTCTGTCAAGTTTCCTTATAAAATATAAGTGCTGGGTTGGCACTGACCTTAACAGAGCTTTAGAGAAGTTACCAAGAAAATTATTTTTAAGCATTCAACAAAAATGCAGCAGTACTTTCACTGTTAAAAATGTTGGGTGTTGGCTGTCATACAAGGTGTAGTTATAAAGAATATAAAGTAATAGACTTATTTCTATATTGGCTACAGATTGAATTGTTTTCAAAATGCTTAGTGATCTGAAGTGGCCTAAAAAAAGAAGAATGTGCCTTTAAGCATAGCAGATAAACTTTTACTGGCTGCTTTGTTGTGTGGTCTTGGTTTATAAGATTTTATTCAAATGCACCTGTGAATATTATTATTCAGCCATAAATTAGGTGAAATAGTTAATCTAGAAAAATCTCTTAGGCACATAGTATTTTATGGCCTTTTCTTTTAAATCCATCCTTGAGTATTTTAAATTGATGAGTTTTTAAGGTACTTAGAAGTGATGATTACAGGGAAATTCATGTTTTTGTAACCACTTTGACGTAAACTAGAGTTTCTAACCTTGACGCTATTGGCGTTTGGCTGTATAAGTCTTTGTAGTGGGAAGAGGAAGGTGGGAGGAGACTGTCCTGTTTGTAGAATATTTAGCTGTGCATTGTAGGATATTTAATGGCATCTCTGGGTTGGCACACTGGATGCCAGTAGCACTCAATAACTCTCAGTTGTGACAACCAAAAATCTCTCTGGATATTCCCATGTCACCTAGGGGGAGACAAAATCACTCCATTTGAGAACAATTGGTCAAGACCTATGACCAATAACATTGTTTTCTAAGGATTCCTTGCTCTAGCAAGGAATGTTATCAACTGTAATTAATCAACTTACAGAATTAATCAACTGGAAATTTGAGTGTTCAGTATCCTTAGAAATCAGCTCTGAGCTCTGATTGTGATTGTTTTTTATTTCCAGGTCAGCATTTCTTGCAGCACACATCCCACTTTTTTTGTACCCCTTTTTGCACACTGTCAGCAAAACGCGTCCCTTTGAGTATCTTCGGCTCACCAGCCTTGGGGTTATTGGTAAGTTATTAGGATTGGGTTCAACACCTATACCACAGTGGTTAGGGCGCCAGCCACTTACACTGAGGATGGCAGGTTTGAACCAGACCTGGGCCAGCTAAACAGTGACAACTGCAGCAAAAAATAGCTGGACGTTGTGACAGGTGCCTGTAGTCCCAGCTACTTAGGAGACTGAGGCAAGAGAATCACTTAAGCCCAAGAGTTTGAGGTTGCTATGAACTGTGATGACACAGTATTCTACCGAAGGCAGCATGGTGAGATTCTATCTCAAATTAAAAGAAAAAAAAATTCATTAGGATTGTTTTGCAAGCCTGAAATCCTCACTCATAATCATAGTCTAAGTTGGGTGTTTTGTATTGCCTTTTATAGTTTTTGTTCTCTGATGTTCATTTTTGTCTCTGAGGTTGTCTCATTCCCTAATACATGAGTATCAGAAATGTGATGACTCTTATCAAACATCATTCTAAATGTTGTTAATAAAGACTCTTGGCCAGGCAAAGTGGCTCCCACTTATAATTCTAACACTCTGGGACACCAAGGCAGATGGATCACCCAAACTCAGGAGTTCAAGACCAGCTTGAACAAGAGTGAGACCCCCTTCTCTACTAAAAATAAATAAACTAGCTAGGCATTGTGGCAAGTGCCTATAGTACCAGCTACTTGGGATACAGAGGCATGAGGATCACTTGAGCCCAGGAGTTTGAGGTTACTATGAGCTGTGTACCCAAGGGAACAGAGTGAGAATCTGTCTTAAAAGTGGGGGGAGCTCTGTGCCCGTAGCACAGTGGTTACAGTGTCAGCCACATACACCAAGGCTGGCGGGTTCAAACCCAACCCGGGCAAACTAAACAACAATGACAATTGCAACAAAAAATAGCCAGGTGTTGTGGCAGGTGTCTATAGTCCCAGCTACTTGGGAGGCTGAGGCAAGAGAATCTTTTTTTTTTT